AAAGCAGACGTAGTGGTCTGAGGTCCGACTGGTTATTTGCGCACTCAATTTAAGGCATTTGCAATGATTTAATTAATTGGCAGACCGTGTTCGAGGGTAACAAACAAAGTTCGAGGGTCGTAAAACAAAGTAAACTTAAAAAGAAATCTCCACCAATTATAGACCGTATAATGAATCTCTGCCAGCAATTTCACCTACCTTTTGAACCACAAAAACTAAACAAACTCAAGCCACCCTGGGACCTACCCTACACATCCATACGATTACATAAAAAAAGCAAACTTTTAAACTTTTAATTAATCACTTTTAATATAATCAGATACCGTCTGTCTTTACTTAAAATGCTACAGAGGTTGCTCAAATAAAGAAAGGCTCTCTCGAATATTCAAGCGAAACGTTATAAATTTCTCATCACTAAAGTTTTAATGAAAACTTTCCCACTGTACACATTTACTTCAGATTTTTGCCCTAACCACTTCCTTCTATAAAATATGTTCTTCATACTCAACTGCCTTTATTTTGTGTTTGCCAGAATTGTATTTACATTTAAGTGGCTTAAACAGGCGAGAGAAGCTTTCGGCAGCTCACAAGGACAGGTAAACTTCTACCTGCAGCCCGCCGCAACGCCCCCTCCTTTTACCAGCCACGCACTTACACAAAGTTCGCGCTCAATCAACCCTGTCTTGAGCCCACTTAACACGCCCGCACCTCTTGCACTCGCTTTCGGAACGCGCTTTGATTTATATGCCACTCCCCCGAAATTGCCAGCCGCCTCTGTTCTCGACAATTGGCTTTGCGGCTACTTAGGCCCTTCTACTTCTGCACTTTAAGAAATAAGGGTTAACATCTTTATCATATAAAATCATTAAAGTCTTATTAATATTGGCCTAAAAGTCAATAAAAATAGAAAGGAGGAATAAAGAGAGGAATAAAAGTTAAATTTGAGTCGAATTTCGTATAAATCATTCTTAGCTTTAGTACTTTCTCCATGTGTATTTACATGTAATACCAATCTGTCAGTGTGCGTGTGTTTGCACGTGTCAACAGTTTGGCAAAATGTCCAACACTGCGTATACGCAATGTCCCGGGTAGTTGCTTGTATGTATTTAAGCCTAAATTATTAACCGAACGGCAGCAGGAGCAAACAATATTGCTTTGCCATAAACGAGCACTTGAAACTAACACATACACACGCACATACCAAATACAAACACACACTTACAGCCTCACTAATACAGATCCAAAATGGGTCGCAGCGGCAATTTCATGAGTCATTTAACCGAGTTGAGCGAGACGAGCAACTGAAAAGAAATGAGAGGCAGAACGGAAGGATCGATGGATGTTTTTCGGACTGCCGTTGTCGTATGCCACATGATTATGTTTATGAAAGTGGCATTGTGTGTGTGCTGCGTGTGTGTGTGTGTGGGTGGGTGGGCGTGTGTTATTGGACATTCATGCCGTTGAAGTGCGCACAAAAACATAAACACAGAATCGAAAAAAATAAAAACTTGCAACGGATACGAGTGGCCAGTGTGCGTTATCCCTTACAGAAATGTGGGCACTGAAAAAAAAGAGGTGATCTTCTTGTAAAACAAAAATATTTTAATGCAAAGTTTACTTTTCTTTGATCAAAATTCACAAACAATTAATATTTTCACAATGAAGTTGATAGATAGAATCAAAATATTGCGAATTATCAACGATAACTTAGCTATTCATGTTTTTAGCATTTAAAATAACCAAAACCTTAGCTTAATTACAAATATATTTTTCTCAGTGTTGGTTATTGTGTGCTCATAAATACAAACAAGAGGCACAAGAAGAAAAAGGAATGGAAAGGTTTGGGGCAACGGAAACACGCAACATTCACATCCGCATTTGCCTTTAATCCGAACCTCATTTCGACATGGCTGCCGGATCGAAAGAGATGCAGGAATGAAGTGGAAGTTTTGGGGTCCCAGGACTGACCCAAAAGTGCGGAAATTAAAACATATGTATTTATAGCCGCACACTTGCTCGGTAGTCTCGTATCTATATCTCTAAATCTAAATCTAACTGCAGCAAGTGGTAGCCAAGGGAAGAACAAGTAGGGAGCCTCCAGCTTAGAACTGACCCCTATTCGGGGGAAAAACCTTTAAAAGTTGGAAAAACAACAAATGTGCCGAGAAAATATGCATCTGTATGGTGGGTGAATACTCGTACAAGAATGTCTCTGCTTACTATTCTGGCAGCGAATAGAGTTTAAATTGAAAATGAAAATTTATTTAAACAAAAAGTCTTACCAAGTTTTTTATATATTTTCCAATTCATTTAAAAATACGCTTAAAAAAGTATTCAAATTTTTTTTTAAATCTATTTTCCTACATCCTAGTGATCAATTTAGTTCAGGAAACAGAATATCCTAGGTATCATTACAAAATCAATCGTAATGACTTTTAAAAGTGAAGGGCACTTCCATCTATCTTAGCTCTTTTTTCAGTTCTAGTTTCTGGTAATAATCCGCCTTGCCACGCCCTCAGGTCTAAAGGCTATTAAGCGGGTAGAGTTAAGTGCTAGTAACATAGAAGCCTGTAGTTTTGCTAATAAATCTAACAGCAGTACAGAACAACTTTTAAAATTAACATTAAAAACACAAAGGTAACTTCTTCTTATTAGTTAACAAAGTTAAGGCATTTCACTCAAGCTTACTTAAGCTATCCCTAAACAAAGCCCTTTCCTTAGTTCAAACTTCCACTGCTAACTTGCGATGTACTTAAACCACTCGGCGGCTAATCCGAAAAACAGCTTATAGCGTTAAGTATACGACGTGTTGGACCAATGACCGCTACAAAGCGCATTTAGTTCTTTGTGTTAGTTCTAGTGCGGTTCCTGCTTTATAATTTCATTTTAATAGTAGAAGGAATTTCTCTGGACTTTGGCTGCTCTTTTTCAACCATTCTTTTTGCTGAGCTGCAACTGCTGGTAAAACTTTTAATTTAATTATAGTTCCATTTGTGGGCACTGCACATATGCAGCAGGGTGAAGGGTTCAAGCGGGGGGATAGATAGGGAGAAACAGACACGCATAAGACTTTGCGGATTATGGAGCGTAATAAATGTCCGTACACACGTAAGCAAACTGGGCAAGCCTTTGTATTTATGCACACATTTCCACAGAGGGGCACTTAAACCAATAAGAGTTGAACGTTGCAGTTGCCATGGTGCAAAAGGATCCAGCAGTTAAACAGATGTGATCGGAAAATTAGAAATTGAAATGAACTTCTATTCTATTTCTAAAATGTTTTAAATATTTTCTTTCGATTTATTGAAGATGACCTAAAAAGCAGTCTTTGTAATTTCTTTCTTTCTTTCTTATTAAGAAAGCTATTATCTTGACTCCGACTGTATCTGACTGCAACTTTTCCCCTTGCATATACGAATATATATATATTTTACTGCTGATTATCTTGGGGCTGCTCAGCTGGGCGAGAAATCTAATAAAATACTTTCGGTGTGGGCAGATTGTGTTTTTTGGCCGCTGCAGATGGAAATCAGAGAAGAAGCCCACAGCTTGGCCTTAATTAAGCAATGGCCTGGCCACCGAATCAAACTGCTGAGTGATGGACTTTATGCCAGAATCCCAAATGTATACATATTTATGGCAAATTAAATAAACCGCACGGAACTCGGCCATTTATTAACGCACGGATTTCGCCGGCCGCCTTGTCATTGATTTATATCACAATTGGCTGCTGTAACAATTCAATAACTTTTCGCCCGAAAAAAGCCGCAAACAACTGAGAATGCTAAAGAGAAACGAACAGAGTGAAAGGCTATCTGGGACGAGAGGAGTGTTCGCGCGAAATGTATTACGGCCATAAACTGCAGCAGGCCCAGCCAGCAAACAGCCAACACAATAACAACAACCAAGTTTACATCCATATATGTCAGCTGGGCTTTTTTCTTCCTTTGGGCCTGGCCAATTGACCGACTGACTGATGACCGAACACTCCTCACTGAGTGAGGATCCCCCTGTTATCCGCTGTATGGAAAGCTTTTCGCTTTCGGTTGTATTAACATATGGATTTTTTTCTGTTACCCAACTGACGGGAAAATAAGCTAGCGAAAAGCAAAGTGAACTGGCATTACAAAAATCCACAGAATGCTCTTCTTTAGTATCAAATAATGGATGAATCTACCAACACTGTTTCGAAGCCACAACATGGCGTCAAACTATGTTAATTTCTGGAATTCCTGTAACACTGCATAATCTAATCATTTCACCAATTCAGATTTGACTGATCACCAATGGCATTCCTTGCCCAACCAATCAACGAATCCCCATCTGTTTGATGGATTCCATGTTCGCTTGAAACCGAAATCTAACATCCAACCTGCGGACGAATACTAATCCCACACAAAACCCAATATGCCAGACCACCGAATGTCATCGTTGCAACTGGCGCAGGATTCACACATGGCGCAACATCCATAAACAGGCTATTAACACCTACGACACCGTACAACTGCTGCATTATAATGCGGGTGCGGCCCATGCCCACTTTTAGTCATGACATGCCACCATCCAAACCAACTCACACCCAATGAATGCAATTGCATTTTGCAGTTGCCGTTGCAGTTGCAGCACTTGAAAGTGCCAAATTACACATGGATGAGGAACTTGCGGAAAAGCGGTGACTACGGGTAGTGGTAAAGTCATGCATACGGGAGAGGAAATTATAGGGCTGGACATAATATATGAAACATAATGATGATGTCGTTGCCGCTGTTGTTGCCACTTGACACCGACACAACAACAGCAGCCACAGTTACAGAGAGGGAAAATTTGCACGAAAAAGAAATTGTTCTTTATAAAGTAAAGAATTTAAGTAGATATATTGAAAGACAAAATAGTTTAACTCTAAAAGAAATAAATTAAAAATAGAATCACCATGGATTGGCTACTTTAATATTTCCCCCTCTGTAAACTTTTGTCGACATAAAAATATATATAAAAGTTTTTCGCTTATTGCCCACTTGTCCTTGAGTGGTTTTTGCATTAAGTCCGGCCCACTGTCCAACCGCAATTTCCCCTCGCTTTTCCGCGAAATTTTTCGTCAATAAAATATGTGTATGTAGCATACTTTGCAGCGCCACAGGAAGTAGGATAAAAGGTGGGGGTGGGTGGGTGACTTTGGGGAAGTGCAGGGTGTATATGTATATTGATTTTCCATCAGCGTGCGCTCAACTGTTTAACTATGTGCTAATATTTATTAAAAACGAGCTACGTAAGGCCACACGTAACGTAATGGCACGTAATGGCGTAAGGGCTCTAAATTTTGTCGCAGGAGAGGAGGATGAATGGATGGATGTATGAAAATAGGAGGGAAAACACGATGTTAACCCAGTAAATGTGTGTGTAATGTGCTGCAAGGACTCGGCATTCATTATGCCTCCCTTCGGGCTGGCCTACATGTCGTATGATTAATCCCATTTCATTATATTATCGCTTATACCACATCTTACCCCTTGTAGCCTTCCTCCTTTGTAGCGAGCATGAAAAATGGGTTTCCCCTTGTTGTTTTGTTTGCATTTAGCTAGTGGACTCTAGCCAGGATTTGTTTCACTTTTACTTACGCATAATTTATTACGCATTTGCTGGGCCATTAAACACGCCCCTCCATCGCCTGACCATTAAAACAACTCAATTAACAGTTGACATAATATGCTTTAGTTTTCTTTTAGTTTACGTTTTTTTTTTTCAGTTTTTCCTTTTATTTCCAGTTTTTCTCATTCATTCATTCATTGGTTTTTTTTTTGCACATTTTAAATTCTTACACTTTTAAAAGATTTCCGTTTTACTTCCCTTTCCTTTCGTATTTATCGTATTTCTGTGTGGCTCATATTTAATTGAAGGTTACTTTCAAATGTTATGTTTTTCGTTTAGCTTTAATAACATTGTTGATTCAGTTTTCTTTTCGGTTTTGTGTGTTAAATAAACTAAGTTTCTTTAATGTATATATATATATATAGCTTTTCTTTATATCATAATTTTATAAATACACATTTACATATACAATATTTACTTCAGTTTTATGCGGTCTCTTAGTTTTCATTTCTGTTTCTGTTTTTCTGTTTTTGTTAGCTTAGACTAAAAGTATCTCAAGAATTTGACATTTGCATTGTCCGATGAAATTGGAAATTTGAAAAGAATTTTATTTGGCAGAGTGATATGAAAACACCTTGAATATTTAATACAGCACAAAGAATATTGTGTGCATTTGATCGGCGATAATCAACCGTTGACAACATTTTTGCAATAAATATCGAATAACCATAAAACGCCTCATCAAACACAATGCGAATTCTAATTTGAACTCGTCTTTTTTTTCCCACATTTCTATAGCCTGCACAATTTAAATAGAAATTACTCGCATGAAATTTCATATGAATGGAATTTGAATGTGTTTATGCTTTGTGGATATTTTACATGGTAATTGGAAAAAGCTTTGGGGAAAACCTGTCGGGATTGGGTTTTTAGTCTCTGAATACTCATGCTGTATTTCAATAGTGTTTTTCTTTTTTGTCTGTTATCCTTGTTTAGTTTTTATTTTTGCTTAATGCTTAGCTTGATTAATGAAACTTTTCCCTTTACTTTAAATTCTATCAATAGTTTTTTTCTTTTGTTTTTTTTTTCTGTAACGTTTGGATTTATTTTTATGTATTTGGTTAGCTCTATGTGCTCTATGGCAAAGTTTGATGTGATGACAGAAATTAGCTAGATAAAAGCTTTGTGTTCTTAAAAGGACCCAAAACAGAAACAAGTTGGACATTGGAAATTGAAAATAAACCATTTTTATATGGAAAGAACCTGAGAACAATCATAGAAATTTAACATTGTAGTTAGATGTAAAATACTTTTTACCCAGAGCTCTTTTCAAATATCTCTTAATCGTTTTTTGTTTCCTTGTTTTTAACACTTGACTAATTTTCGTTTCGCATTGAGTAACAACAAATAAATGTATGAAATGTGCAACAATTTTCCATCTATGCCGATTGTATCCTAAATTCAAACCTTTCCCTCTGCACGCTGGGTAATTCTTAAGTTTATTTAATTTGTACATTACACAAGAACGAAACGAAACAACTTATTCGAGGGTTTCTCTTTTCATATATTTTATGACTTAATTTCTAACCATTCAGATGCAGCCAAAAGAAAAATTCTCCCCTCAACGAGTTCTGCTTTTCGTCTCCATCACCATCTCCATCTCCGCTTATGTTTTTATTTTATTTTTTTTTGCTTTAACTTGTAGCTAAATTTCCCCCCCTTTGGGTTTAGGTTTCTTTTATATTTTACACAGTTTTTCTTTTTCGCTTTAATTTCTAGGATTCATTTTCGTTTTTGTTTTCTTTGCTATAGCCTGTACTTGAAGTTGAATGTTTTTAGTTTGCGTTTTGCTAATTGCCTTTCGGTTGAACATTTATCTGTCTATTAGGATTTCGCAAAATGCAAATGAGAATTTCTCATTTGGCATTCGAGGGGAACAGTCGCAGAAGTGGCAGTCGAGAAGCGTTTCCTGTTCTGGTATTTGCTAGAAAATATTTTTCTCTTGATTTTAATGCAGGCTTTTTGAGCAGGTTTCGTGAAGGGTACGTTCCGCTGAATTTTGTTTTGGCTATAAAAGTTACAAAGGTTGGAAAGAGTCGATCGAAAAAAGCGCCTCTAGGTATGCTATGCAGCCTATTTACACAATTTCCAATTTATAAACAAGAACCAAGGACTTAGATAGCTTCATTGTATGATACAAAGTCGTACATAAAAAAAGGCGACAACTTGGCTTGATTTTCGGTTTTATCTATAGTTAAGTATATATAATATCTTTACCTTTTCGTTTTTCTTTATTTTTTTATTCTGTTTTGTGCTAAATATTACGTATACGTCGCTGATTCATAGAAAAACGCAATAGCCAATAGAGTTGTTGTATGTTGTATGTTTACTTTATAGTTATTATAGTTTACAGCTTACGGTTGAGTTTAGAGTGGCCTTGAGGAGGGTGTTGGGCGGGTAGCTCACCTTATGTCTGCCTCGAAAAGTTGCCTACACGTTGCCGCCTCCTGGCGTGATTGTAGTTTCAGTTGATGCTGTTGCTCATGTTGATGTTGCTGCTGCATCTGCTGATGCTGTTGCCGCTGTGTACCTTTCCAATGCCAGCGCCAACACCATCGCCATTGCCAACTCAAAACGCTTGCGAGGAAATGCCGCAATTCGCTGGCAAGTTTCGAATATCCTGATGAATTTTTAGGACGCTTCCTATCTCGCTGTGTGGAGCGGCGGGGCGGGGACGTGCTAAGAACGGCGCCCAGCAGCGCAGCGATCCACCTGCAAGCGCCCAGCTGCAAAAGCACACAAACAGGTACACAAACAGACAGCGAATGGGCGAGGGGCGATGATGCACTGGTGCCGCGTGCTGCATTGCTGCTGGGAACTCCCCTGGAAACGGAATGGGAAACACCTGTTTAATTTACATCTTTATTGCTGTCCTCATACACAGACATTCGGCGAACTGAAAAGTCGTTAAGTAGTTTCTTTTTGGAGCAGTGAGTGAGTGTGTACGGTGCGAAAATATCACCAAAATTGGTGATATCTAAAAAAAAAAGTTTTTTTTTTAAATATCAAACAAATGTTAAAAATGTTTCTTTCAGATATTTTAAATAATACTTATATGGTATTTAATTATAAAAAAACATTTATCATTTTTATGAGCATAATACTGACTTATTTTATGGCTTATCGGAACCAAGATTGTCAAGTAATATTTGCAATATTTCTTTCACGTTTTCATCCTATAAAATAGTCAAAACATGACGTACAGCCAAAAGGATAACTATTTGGTGCAGCTAACGACCAAAACGATACAAATCTTTCACCCCTTGATTGATTTTTATAATTTAATTTTTTGATTAATTTTCGCATTTTTGATTCGCATTCGTGTTTTTTTCGAAAAATGGCCAAATCATGGCGTTTTAAGGAGTGAATACAGTTGTGATAGAAATAAAATTTCAAGTTCAACGATGTATGACATTCCATATTCCGAACATTTTTGGCATTTTTATTAACAAAATACTGACTTTCTTGACTATAATGCAAAGGAACGCTTTCAAGCAATATTTCTCATACTTCTTCCAGGTTTTCATCCTATAAAATAGTCAAAACATGACGTACAACCAAAAGAAGAACTGTTTTGTGCAGCTAACGACCAGAACTAACCAAATCTATGACCCCCTGATTGATTTTGAAAGTTTAATTTTTCGGCCATCGTCTTTTTTTGCAAAAATGGCCAAAAATTAAATTTTCCATATTTTGATGCACATTGATTAAAATATAAAATAGATCAAATTTCTAGCTCAGGGAAGTATAAAATTCGACATTTGGACTATTTTTAAGCTTACCAGGAAAAAAATACTTATTTTTTTTAGTTTTTAGTCCATAAAATAGTCAAAACACGTCATACAGCCAAAATAAAGACAGTTTTGTGCAGCTAACGAACCCCATAACGACCTATTTGACTGTCAACCCGAAATTGGAAAAATAATTTTTGAGCAATTTTTGCATTTTTTATAAGGGGTACCATCGTCTTTTTTTCCAAAAATGGCCAAAAATTAAATTTCATATTTTTGGATGCACATCGATTAAAGTTTGAAATAGTTTAAATTTCGAGCTCAGGGAGGTATAACATTCCAAATTTGGACCATTTTCAGGCTTACTAGGAGGGAAATACTGATTTTTTTAAACTGGAAAAATAAGAAAACAATTTTTTAGAGAATTCGCTATATTTTTTTGGTTTTCAGTCCATAAAATGGTCAAAACAAGTCATACAGCCAAAATAAAGACAGTTTTGTGCAGCTAACGAACCCCATTAACGACCTATTTGACTGTCAACCCGAAATTGGAAAAATAATTTTTGAGCAATTTTTGCATTTTTTATAAGGGGTACCATCGTCTTTTTTTCCAAAAATGGCCAAAAATTAAATTTCATATTTTTGGATGCACATCGATTAAAGTTTGAAATAGTTTAAATTTCGAGCTCAGGGAGGTATAACATTCCAAATTTGGACCATTTTCAGGCTTACTAGGAGGGAAATACTGTTTTTTTTAAACTGGAAAAATAAGAAAACAATTTTTTAGAGAATTCGCTATATTTTTTTGGTTTTTAGTCCATAAAATAGTCAAAACAAGTCATACAGCTGAAGTAAAGACAGTTTTGTGCAGGTAACGAACCCCATTAACGACCTATTTGACTGTCAACCCGAAATTGGAAAAATAATTTTTGAGCAATTTTTGCATTTTTTGTAAGGGGTACCATCGTCTTTTTTTCCAAAAATGGCCAAAAATTAAATTTTGTATTTTTGGATGCACATTGATTAAAGTTTGAAATAGTTTAAATTTCGAGCTCAGGGAGGTATAACATTCCAAATTTGGACCATTTTCAGGCTTACTAGGAGGGAAATACTGATTTTTTTAAACTGGAAAAATAAGAAAACAATTTTTTAGAGAATTCGCTATATTTTTTTGGTTTTTAGTCCATAAAATAGTCAAAACAAGTCATACAGCTGAAGTAAAGACAGTTTTGTGCAGCTAACGAACCCAATTAACGACCTATTTGACTGTCAACCCGAAATTGGAAAAATAATTTTTGATCAATTTTTGCATTTTTTTATAAGGGGTACCCTCGTCTTTTTTTCCAAAAATGGCCAAAAATTAAATTTCATATTTTTGGATGCACATCGATTAAAGTTTGAAATAGATTGAATTACGAGCTCAACGAGGTACAAGATTCCATTTTTGGACAATTTTTGTCATTGTTCTGGTAAAATTGCTGATTAGTTGAGCCCAGAATCAGGATACACAAAATTTTGCATATTTGGATGGTTAACACAATATGTGATACTCACAGCAGTCCTTGTAGACTCAATTTAATAGCGGAAAATATTCCTTCTTTCCATTTAAATCCCACGACTTACTGCCAAATAATCCCGCTACTGTAAACGGATTACTAGCGGCCACAAAAAGGGCAGTGGGTGGTAACACCCGAAAAGCTGTCAAACAATAAAACTGCACAGATAAACCGAAAGCACGAAACAATACTTGGATTGTCACAAAAGTCAAAACAACAAGCAGCTAAATAAAACTAACAAAAAGAATCCGCTGCTCTGCGGCTTGAAATGAAGGCAACGGAAAACAAAACTAGTGAAACCGTTGACTGTTTACAACTTTCTGCAACAGATGCAGGAACAAAAGCAGCAATTTTACCTGTAACTTGCAACTAGAGTTTGCAAACATAAAGCAAGAAATCAACACTGCGAAAGACTTAGCAAAGAATTGCAAACGAAGCTTACTTGGGTCACGAAATTCTATTGTTCAGAATTGAGTTGCTTGAAAAAATCATTCCAAATTTAAGTAGAACAGGTATCCAGTATAAATACCCATAACAGTGCGAGTAACGAGAATAAATATAATTAGTTGACAAAAATTATTTACATTCCATAATGAAAATTACTAAGTTCCTTTTAAAAACTCAAAAAGTAAACAACTTTTGCCACTCATAAGCCTTTCTTTTTAATGGAATTCTTATTTCCATCAGCGAACTAAAGATATCAAAAAACTTTATGTTGCCTCTAATAACTTTTGATTCTCAAAAAGTAGAAAAACAATTTTTATGCACTGCAGCTGGCACGGTTCGGAGTGCCTTAGAGGACCCAACTTTAAGTCCTTCGTTACTCTGGCAGAAACTTAAAAGCGGAAAGTCGGGAAACCTGAAAGTCAGAAAGCGAATCAGACCGAAAACTCTGACCCCATTGATGACGCAGTCGCTGGTGATGCGGCAAGCCAAACAAGATGAAAATTCCCCCCGCCTCACATTGTCGTATGTACATTCCCACCTGTATATATGCATTACGGGTAACAATGAGCAATAAAAAGGAAAATAATGCAAAAAGTAAGCACAAGATGGCCACAGAGGAGTAAAAATGGAAAACTTTGCACTGCAACGCGATGACAACAAAAGTCGAATGGAAGCAGCAGGCAGAAACAACAATGTTGACGGGCTTAGTATAATAATAATAATAACAATAATAACAACAAACAAACAAAGCAAAATGTTACGGTATACAACAATGGTGAAAGTGGCAGAACAAGAGACAAAACATAATAATAATCAGAAACAAGTGTGCCAAAGCAGTTAACGGAAACAACGCGCACTGCATGCGCAATATGCTGACAGGGATGAGTGCCCCTAACATCACACCCCTAATACATGGATACACAGAAAGAAAATTGGTTTTACTATTCGAAAGTAACTCAATTTGTTCTTAAGCCCTGAAAAGTATGCTAGTAATGCTAAGCTACTTCCGCTTTCGCCATCTTTAAATGATTATTTCATAGCATACTCTTTGGGATCACTAAAAAAAATATTTAAAAAATAAAAAAGCAGTCAATAACTTTGTTTTCGTTTAATTATATATACAAATATCTTTAACATTTTTCTCAGTGTATGCATAATTGTATGTGCTCTGCGAAAAGACAACGCCGTGTGACATTATCTAGCAGACACGGTTGCTGCGACAACGACGACAACTTGACATTAGTGAAAGTCGCAAAGGAAGTAGCGTGCAGCAACTGCTTTTTTAGCTTTTCCAGCTTTTCCTGCTGCCGCTGTGAGTTTTCCGAGACAGTTAGGGTAGGAGATGGTTAGAATGAGCAGAGGGCGATCGTGGGGTTAGGGGCGTAACATAAACATAATTTTCATGTGGCACGCGTGCTAGATTTAGCAGGACGCCAAGACCCCAAAGTTTGCAAGCCAAGTGCATTTTATATACTCTGTTTTAGAAATGACTTAGTAAAGAAAAGTGTGTTATGCTGATTAAGTTGAATTTTTCTCAAATTTAACTAGGGAAAATGTAGTTTAGATTTCAAGAGGAATTTGTATATAGAAAAGGATTATTCTGAAAATGTTTAAGAACTATATTTTTAATAAGAAGTCATTTCTATACAGTTTTTATTATCAGCATTTAGCTATCTCAGATTACAAAGCTCATATGCTCCCTCGAAAGTAAGGATATCCCGTCAGCTTCAGATTTTACCCCCTGGCCAGATTTGCTCGGCAAACATTGATGGCTTCCAGAGTGGTTGGCTACAGACACGGCATGAGATGAGGATAAATGGATGAGGGGTTCCGAGGATAATGATTATACAGCTGGATAGCGGGAAAAGGGAAAAGCAACTGTCACTCCCTATTCCCTATAATTTTCACGTGCCACTTTTAGCTGTTTTCACTTAGCTGAGCTCTTGTCTGGTTTAACTGAATATACGTGGAAATATTGAAATAGACACCTTTTCCCCCTCAATGCTCCCTTTCTTCGGAATTTTCCCCCACATATATATTTATATATAGCGAGTCTATTGACTAATCAATATTTACCCATTGGCTTCCGAATCGATTCCTTTACACTCTTTTGTTGATGTTTTCACTTAGTTTGGCTGAGTTTAAACAACACTTTGTTGGATAGTTATTGTCACCTCTTCGTAGCTTACTTACTATGACCCTTCCCCTTCCCCTACCCCCACGTTTCCATCGCCTGTGGCGCTCTTTAACGTTGCCCTGGATCTTTCTTTCTGGGCTTTTGTGTCACTTCTTGGGCTGCCCGAGGAGCTTTAGCAGCTGCAATTTCTATGGCTGCCTTTAGACAGATTTTAACCATTGATATGCTGACTCAGGCCCAGGTCGTTCGTATTAACTGCTCTAAGGGGATTTGGATCTTGGTTCTAGGTCTGAGACACAAATTCTTCAGCAAGTCTCAGTATTTAACTTGGCGCAGAAATTGCCTAGGTTAAAAGTTTCAAAATGAGCTCAAATTAAAAGTGTATTTACTCCTTAAATGATTAAGGTATCTGCATTTACAGTAATCCCTAAAACCTCTTGGGTTTATTTAATGGCTTCTTAAAAACTCGCTTAGCAACGAATGCCCTGAAGCTGAAGTACTTTTTATAATACTCAAAAATCCGAACATTTTAAAGTCATTTCAACAAATGTCTGTAAAAGTATTTTGAAGTGAAATTTGATTGCCTAATTTGGAATTTTATGCATGACATTTCCATATATTAGAGGAAATATACGAAAAATAAATGTATTCTTCGGCACTCTAACATTTTAGAGCTCTCATATATAAAAATGATTTTTAAAAATGTACTATCACTTTATTTATTTGCAAGCTTTCAGCATGTATTTAAAGTGGAAAAATACAATTAAATTTTTACCATGTCTCTCCAACACCACCGCACATCACTTTACCAGCTAAATGGGAATGCAATTTGAAACCTTTTGTCTACACCATTAGCTCATTTCGACTTCTAGTTTTTTATTTGGTTGCACTTGGTTTCCTTTTCGCTGTAACTTTTTACCACCCCATTCAGGCCATTATTTTTTGCTGTCTTCCAGGCCAAAAACTCGTCGTGTAACCCATTAGCCATCCCATTGTCCTATTCACTTTTTTGCCCAGTTTCATTTAGCATATTCCCTTGCATTTTTTTTAGCTTTTCGTTGTTTTCAAGACCCATTGTTTTATTTGCTGATGTCCTGTGGCTGTGTGTGTGTTGTCGTTGATTTTACTTACCATTGAGCACATGTACCGTAACGCTTTTGGGCTTCGCATTTGATGGATTACACTGATAATGCCCGGAATCAGAAGGACGCGCCGATTTGATTAGGAGGAATGAGGTGGTCGTATCTCCCTTGTTGGTAACGACGGACACGCCTCCGCGCGGCGAATCATAGTTGATAATCTGCGGGTGAGCGGGAAACTTTTGAAAGTTATAAAATATTTTTCAACATTTTTATACCCGTTACTCGTAGAGTAAAAGGGTATACTAGATTCGTTGAAAAGTATGTAACAGATAGAAGGAAGCTTTTGCGACCCTATAAAGTATATATATTCTTGATCAGGATCATTAGCGAAGTCGATTGAGCCATGTCCGTCTGTCCGTCCGTCCGTCCGTCCGTCCGTCCGTCCGTCCGTCCGACCGTCCGTCCGTCCGTCCGTCCGTCCGTCCGTCCGTCCGTCCGTCCGTATGAACGCTGAGATCTCAGGAACTATAGCAGATACAAAGTTGAGATTATGCATGAAGATTCTTGAGGTCCCGGGACAGCGCAAGTTTATTACAGCATCCTGCCACGCCCACTCTAACGCCCACAAATCGCAAAAAACTAAAATTGCTGAAATCTCAGGAACTATTGCAGATAGAAAGTTGAAATTCAGAGAGTATAATCTTCAGATGACAGCGCATCTTATAGTGCTGCTACTATCCGGCCACACCCACCCATACGCCCACAAGGCTCAAAAGACGGTTTTCGGATTTTCTAGAAAAGCTGATATCTCGGTAACTATAAGAGATAGAAAGTTCGGATCAAGCATGTATGTTTCTATGATGCTCCCAATGGGAATTGTTTTTTTCCGATCACGCCACGCCCACTCTAACGCCCACAAAACCCGAAAAACCAAAAATGCAAAAATCTCAAAAACTATAAAAGCTACACAATTTTGCTTAAGAACACCTATTTAGGAGATGCCTCTGCAACTTGCCACGAAGTTGCATCCGGCCACGCCCACTCTAACGCCCACAAACCGCGGAAAACTGTGGAGTCTATAATATTATTATGAATGCCTTCGTTTGACCTTGTGTAACTTATTTCTGTTAATATCTATCGATTTACAAAAGATTTTTCAAATCGGAACATTATTTCGCTATTTATAAAGAAATTAAGTTATAAGGCCTCACATGGGTAGTGACGTCACTGTAAGCATACTCAACATACTTCCTCTGACAATAGGTGGAGCATTGTGAATTTCCACTAGCAAAATAATATTTTAAAATTTTGTAAAACAGTAACGGGTATCTTATAGTCGCGGCACTCGACTAAAGCGTTTCCTCTTGTTTTAATTTGGAAGGGCGCCGCTACACACACAATTTTCTAAGCCATAAAATCTAGCCCAGATTACGCATACGCACTGTTGCACACTTGGCAAATTAAATTCAGTGGACTGGGGATAAGACGAAAAGTCCGGAAAATATGCAAAGTAAGGAAAGAGAGATTGCAAATAAAACCGAAGCAAAACAATAAAATTAAATCTGTTTTGGGGGCACAAAGAAGAAAGAGAAAAAGATGAGGCAGGAAGGAACTCCCACCACTAATGGCAATATTTTTTTTCCCTTTCTTGTCGCTGGCTCTCTATAGAAAATACATAACAATAGAAGACCGTCAACCCTTAAAGCCCAATACAATAAGCCAGGGACCAAAAGCATGAAGTGTGAGGAAAACACCTAAAGTGGAAAACTAAAACGTGGCTCAGTCCAAACAAAACCAAAATCCATTTAAAGCTCCCAAACCCTAACCCTTTTCCCCAAGCTCTGCACCCACTTCCTTCCTTAAATGGCATTTCCTAATATATACTCGTATAAAAAAATAAAAAAACACCGAAAGAAGGAAAGTTTTCGCTCGGCAAAGCTAATTTAAAAGTTACTAAATTGAACACTAAAGGGTTCCCAGACTTGGGTGGGTTTTTTCTCTTTTTGGGGAATGTGGGGAAGCGATAATGACGCCCCAAAGTAATTGCTTGTCCTGGAAAATGAAAAAGGGTTCGGTGGGATTAAGGAACTCAAACTCACAGCGTTATTATGATTCCAGAAGATATAGGCTGGCGGTTCCGGTGAGTTTTGTATGATACAGGTAAGGTTTATAGTGGAGCCACTTTCTATATACAAATCGGGTGCCCCGATAATTTCCGTTGAAGGTTCTGAAAAGTAATAAAAAGAAAATCATTTAATTAAAAAGGTTAAGTTTAAGGAATTTCATTGCGAGTCGAACTGGAATAAAATAACAATTAGCTAAGAGCAAGATTTTTATTAGAGACTTTTCACGAAATGATAGGAAAATCATGTTCATCCTTTACAAGCGCGGCAATCGAATCGCGCGGAAAGTGAGATGAAAGTATTTTTGCCTTGGCCTTTTGTTATTTAATTCAATCAGAATTTAACGCGAAAACTTTAACGAGAAAGGAGGATAAAAGGGACACATTTGGTAGGTGGCTCTACAAATAAAGTAAGTTTAAGTTTGCAGTAAACTTTAAAGTGTAAAAGTAAAGTGTAAAGTTAAAGCTCAAGTTTCGATGCCATAAAGAAACAAAAGTTTCTTAAGCACTTGGCAAAATTATTGCAGACAATAAAAGTGTCTGAGTGGAAATTTACAATGTAAAAACCTTGTGGGGATAAATTTTAAGAAAGAATATTCCAGGTGGTATCCTAATAGTCAATCTATACCAATATAGCCTTTAATTTGTTTTCATTTTGTCTCTATTCCAAGGTGTTTATCATAAATAAATCACTTTCTCAACTTACCAACGACATTTAGATGAATGTAGTGACTCATATGGGGCGTGGTAGATACCTGGCATTCATAAATACCAGAATCGCGATGTTGCGGGTATTTGATTTGCAGCATCCAGTCTTCGGTTTGCGGCTGATGTATGGCCCGAAAGCGCTGATCCGACGTGTATGTATATCGGCCAACTGTCAGCAAATGTATGTCCCGATGTCGCACCCACGACACCTGAAGCAACATCTAAAATGATTTAGAGAAAGCGGGAAAGTTTTCAGCAAAAAGAACTTCAGATTTTCAGATTTCATTTGTTTGACAAACAGTTTTAAAAAGTCAATTTCATAAGCAGCTGCTTGAACGTGTGGTTCGCCCTTTGTGTCACAGCCATACGTGTAAAATGCAAATTTATTTTCAAATATTTTATATGATTTTTACACATTTTTTCCTCGTCCTGTGCTTTGTGTGCTTTGGCAAAGAAAACTTTGAAAGGGCCAATACAACGGTGAAGTGATTTCTTTTGCCAGGCACAAACGGGATGAAAAAATTGAATATAACAAGGTCTAACACACATGCCTAAACTGAAAGAAATATTTGTCAAAGAAAATAGATTTATTTTGAAAATTTTTCTTTCTTTTCCAGTATTTTTTTTTAAATTTTTGTGAATTAAATCATTAAAATTAAAGTCATTTTTGGCTAGACATAAATAATTAAAAAAAGCAAAATTTTTTTTTTTCTGTAAACATGGAACCACGCCCCTAACGCCTTTGGCAACCACCTGCTGTTTAATGCTTAACTTTTCCCTGCCCAAGGGCGCAACATTTTTAAGTGACGCTGATTTAGGGGTTGCCTAAGTCACGGCCAAGGTAGGGAGGGCCTAAAAATTCGAGTGGAGGAGGCAGTGGCATTGCTAAAGGGTGGGTGGAAAAGTAGATGGGGAAGAAGGACACACCTGGCTGTGTTGCGTGTCATACGTCAGCTGCGAGAATTTTCAATTTCAATGACAACAGCTTAGCAACATCCTGCCTAACGATGAACGACGTCGAGGACGACTTTGCCAAAGTTAATGGACAAGAAGAAACTCTGGGCAGGAAGGAAGGTGGAGCTATGAGCGATGATAGGGGGCGGAGACCTCGACCAGGTGTTAGTTGCCAGACACAAAGGTAAACTTTACCAGCTGCTTAAGCAAAGTTGCATGTAATTAACACCCAAAAGTCCTCAAGCAGTGATAACGAAGGCTGGGAGGCAACAACTTTTCTCCCTCAACCACGCACACTCACACAAATTTTCACGGCTTCTTTTTTATGCGCATTAAGCTTGTTTACAGTATCGTAAAATTTTAAGCATATCAATATTTTCTTTCATTTACTGCTTGCCAAACGAACATCAAAATCTGAAAAAATATTCTTTTACAGCTCAATTTGTGAAGCCGAGTAAAAGTACATAAATTACGAGAGAAATATTTGCCTGCCACCTTTTGCGATTTTTCGGGGTAAGGAAAGTACTTTGATGTTGTGGGGAAATACCTTGATATAAAATCAAGAAAAATTCAATAAATGAAGCTTATTAATGGAAAGTAATACATTTTTGCATTTCAATACAGGAGAGTTAGATTACGTATTTCTTTTAGCATGATTATATTTTCCTACGAACCAGTGAAAACTGAAAAAAAAATAGTGAAAGGACCTTTACACCTTTTTTAAATAAATCTCTATCGCTTGTACCTTTCACCTTTTCTCTTAAATGGTCCACCTTAGTTCTTTAGAATTATGAAAAAAACGACGTACTTTCATACTCCTGCTATGTATGTGAGTGTGTGTCTGGGTATTAAAACATAAAGCTTTTCCCCGAGCAAAGCGCAAATGAAAAACGTCATTAATAATGCAGGGACCATCAGCATCCGTTCGCTGTTTATCATTATAGACGGTGTGAAGCAAAGAGCACACGTATACGAGTATGTACCACCTCTCTATATACACGAGCATAAAACAGAAGGATTTTTCTTTATCTTTCCTCTCCTTGGCATTTTCCCATCGCACCCAAGCTTAATTCTCGCCCAGATGCTGCCAAATCTCAGCAGCAATGATGTATTACTCCAGGTGGGTGTAGGTGGGTGGCTTGAGGTAAGACAAGGAGGTATGAGAAAAACTGGGAGAAAAAAAAAAGCGCAAGGGCGGAAGTGGGTGGCCATTGGGTGAGCTTGTGGTTCGCCGCAGAACTGAAAGCTAATTAGATTTTAAGCTGCCACACGAAGGTAATGAATATATTTTACAGGTTGCCTAATGTGTTGAGGTTTTTTTCAAGGCAGCTGATGAGAAAGAAATGGATATTTTCTTAAGCTGTCTGGCGAATAGCGTTTTATGGGAGGGATATAAGGTCTCAAGATTATACAAATTACGTACAAAATGCTACAAAGCAGTGTGAGAAAATTTGTTTGTTTATTTAGAAGCATTTTTATGGTAAGCTTTGAAAAATATTTAGAAAGAAACTCTTTTGTTCAGAGAAAAATATTTACAGAGTCAAGGTTTTTCAGTTTTTATATATTTAAAGTTTATCTCTCCATTCCCCTACATCAAACTAAGAGTTTCCTATCATTAATTAACTCATTTTCCAAGAGACATTGGTAGTAAGAGATCGATGAGGTTATCCCACTTAACACGTCTAATGAAGTTATCCCAGGAATGGAGACTGCCACACATCCTCGAGCCTGAAACTTTCCCATCGTCCTACCGCAAGGTGAAAGGCATTCAGCGTGCTTGATTTCCCACCCACCCCGAATTGAGGTTGCCTGGCCTGCTCTCTTACCCATTTTCTACAATTTAATAATCACGCAAATTAGTTTTCGAAACCGCAACCCAAACAAGCCAGAGCCCTGGGCTAATCACAGGCTGCCAGAAAGTTTACTAGAAAGTGGGAACGCCCAGTGGGTGGGTGGTGCATGCCTAGGAAACCGGGACATGTAACATATTATTATCGGAAAAACGGGCAGGGACCTTCTCCGGTCGTCGACGCCGCCGGAAGTGACGGAAACCGAATGACTACGGCCTAAAAGTAACCGGACTGAACTCCTGCTGAGAGCCCAGAGAGAAAAAACAAAATAAATTTTTTGGCTTTTTTTCCTGGCATTTGAATAGTTCAGGTAGATGAAGGCCTCAACCGGAAGTGGAAGTGGCGATGGTGGCGGTGCTGGAGATTGTGTTTGTGAAATGTTTGCGGCATTTCCTTCCGCTCACGACGAAAAAGTTGAATAAAGTAAAATCTGTTTCCTGTTTGGGTATAATTAATCATTTTGTTCTTTGGCAAGCGGAACAATTAGCCACCAGCACCTCCCCCAAAAGCTCCACCCACATTTTTGCGGGACCCAGTCAACGTGCTAATTAGCCTGCCAAAAAAAAAGAAGAAAAAACCCCAAATACACAGTGGGGCAGCAGCAGGAACTCATGCACAGGCACAAATCGCATTTTGATGGCAGCGACAAAGGAATTACACGATAATTACAAGGCAAATTGTCAAATGATGGCAAGAATTAGACTGGAAGGTGAAATTAATCAAAATATAATTCTAAATCTTCATTATTGTTTTTTTAAATGAAAAAATATAAATCATTCTTAAACGCAATAAGCTAAATCTAACTAGCAAACTCACCGTCTTGTTGCCCAGATTCTTGACCCGGCAGTTCAAATAGGCCGTCTTGCCCAGCAGGGCGGTGACATTCTTGGAGAAGGCCTTGTCGAAGTAGGGACCCGCATTGCGGGCCTCCTCCAAATCGATGCTGTTGCGATGGAAACCGGATGCAATCTGGGATGAGAATGTGTTGCTGTTGCTGCCGCTGTTGCTGGCCTTGTGCAAACTACTGCTGGGAATCCCCGTGACGGTGGTGGAGCTGCCAATAGAACTTCGACTGGCATCGGTTGTCAAAGCGGCGGATTCTGAGACCGAGCTCGATCCGCCAGCTGCCTGGCCATTTTTGTTATTTCCGCTGCTATTGTTGCCGCTTCCGTTTCCGCTTCCGGCGACACCAGTGGGACCAGCAGCCTCGCCCGCTCCAGCAACCGATCCTCCCACTCCTTCGTTGGGCAAGGCATTATTACTGCTGCTCATATCCTTCGACTTGTACGAGTCACGCTGAGCGGCATAAACTATGGAAAGGGAGGAAGATGAATGGTTGATTTAGAAGTGGATTCATTCTATTTTTTAAGGATTTTTTGATAGAATTTTTGTGGATTTTTTACTGCAAACTAGTTTTATTTTCAAAATCTAAAGGTTTCCCGTTCATAGCCTCTGCCCTGCGCTCCTATTTAAATCGATGTAATTCCCAGAGTGGTTTTTCGTTTACAACTGTTTCAAATTCGAAAACTATGCCATAAAGTCCTTCAATCGATGGCCATAACAACAAACTGGAAACCCGAATGGGGGAAACCTTGTAACTCGTTTGGGTTGAACTTTTAACAACCAACAGCCCGGACTACCAAATACTTCCACCTTTTGTGGCAGCCATTTAGGTAATTAGCGAATTACGCACACACATATACCAGCACCCACACCCACACCATGCGGAACATACGTTAACAACTTTTTTTGTGGGGTGTGGGGAGAAAAACAAAGTTTTTGGTTCGTTCGCAGGTAAATCCAACTTTTTTTCGGTTTGTTCTCTCTCTCTCCTTCCAATTTTTCCGCATTTTTTGTTTGTTTGCAATTTTTCGTTTATCAAATTTTCATGTTTTCCCGCACAGCCCCCACAGGCAAGTGTGTTTGCGTTTGTGTGCAAAAAAAAACTGGTTGTTGTCGTAGTTACGAGCAATTTTTATCCGGCATTTATCCATCACTTAGCTGGCGAGGACGCCACTGCGTCTGGTCCAGGAACCAAGCTGCTTCTTTCTCTTCCACCCACAGAAACCCTCGAATATGGCTCGGATATATCTCGGGGCACTTGATACGCTTATTACGTCGCAGCTAACGTCTTTTTATGACACTCTCTTCTCCACCAGTTTTATGGACCAAGCCGGCAAGTCTGGCTAGCGACTTTATTAGATTAAACATGTTGTGCACATCGCTGCCCGGAGAACCAGACATCGAACAAATCCTCTAAACAGACTGTGATGCTTACAGTGACCAAGTCACATTGAGAGAAGTCACGGTTTAGAAACAATAATCTAATAATATATATTTACTACTAGGAGTTTTTCACGAAAATGTAAGCTTTTGAATGCCTAAATTGGCCTTAATATGAATGAAGAGATTGTTTTATGATACATTTTTTAATTTTTAGAATTATATCTTCAGAATAAAGTAAATTCTTCAAAAACATCCAAAAGATCCTAAAAATATTGTCTAAAATTTCTAAACTTTTCATAACAAATCTATCATAAGTTACCATTATCTTTAGTAACAAAATCTTGCATTTCGCAAAGTTCTGGTCACGTAATGTGCGATTCAGCTCATCGCCCATACAACCAACACACATCCTACATGCATGGTCTTCTTATCGTGTACTCCCTCTCTCTCTTTCTCTTTCTCTTTCTCTTTCTCTGAATTGTTCCTGTCTCTGGCCTTCGCAACGCCCCCTTACGTTTACTACCCGAACTATTAGCTGAGCATCAGCTTTAGCCCGCTGGCCATGTTCCTACCAGATAAGTCGAATATCCTTCATCATCTGCTTCAGCTTCAACTGCTTTAGCTCCAGCTTTCGCTTTTCCCTTCCTTTCCCACAGAGGTTTTCCCTTCTACACAGCCAATATTTCCCTTGCTCTTCCATTTTCCCTAAGCCAACTGCTATTGACAGCCAAGCCGTTTGGAGCCGTCTGCAGTTTGGATCTGCTCTTTGGTCTGCCGGCTGGCTTCAATTGGCAAGACCCAAACAATGTTGCTAATAACTTGACTCCACCCATGTTCTGTTGCGTGGGAGTTATAGGGATGGGGCGTACGTGGGCGGGAATGTGGGCCAAACATGATAATAAATAAAACGCCTCTGGCTAGAAATTAAAATAAATTGACTGCCTGGGACAAAAGACCGCACCGTCAACTGTTGGCTGCCAAACATAAATTAGACCGCAAAACGAAAATATTTATTTTCTTTTTTTGGTATCTTTTTACCCTAGTTAAGGATCATATTATAATGAAAATAAAGGTTTTTTTAGTTATTTAAACAAATATATTTTAATTTATTAAACTATAATTAAGCTCAATTAGCTTTTGTTAGTTGGGCGGTGCAGTCTAAAGGGATGTTAAGTTTTGAAAGGGCTTAGACCTCAGTTTGGGAAAGTTCACTTTGTTAGTCGTAGTAATTAGTTAAGTTTAAAAAAAATCTTTAAATATTTTATCTAACTTCTTTATTTATAGAGTATTTCAAAACCAATTTCTTTCGTATACTTTAATTTTACGTCTTATTTTGAGTTTCATTTCTGTTTTGTCTTAAAAGCGCCCTGCAGGAGCCAGAAAGTCATGTACCGGGGTCGCAGTTTCAGTTTCAGTGGCAGTGGCAGTGGCTGTCGCAGTCCTTGCCGTGTTCATGTCTCATGTCCCGGGTACCGAGTCCTGGGTACAGCGTCCTGAGTCCTATGTCTTGTGTCCGGGTTTGTTACGTCGACGTCAACGTCAGCAACTTGAACACAAGTAGACCGCAGGGCATGTTCCTGTTGCTCATCTGTAGCCTCGTCTTTGTCTTGTTCTTGGTCTTCGCCACATCTCCCCTCTCATTCAGTTGAGCTCGCGTGGCTTGCTGAAATTTTACGCCCGCACAGTTATTATTAACAAGGGAGGGGGTGTGCGATGTGATGTTCTTGCGGTTGTTGTTGTCAGAAACATTTGAAATGTCAAAACTTTTAGCTCCCCCCTCGTTGCACGTGTTATGTGAGTGTTTGTTAGTCTGCCTTCCTAAGGTGAACTCGCAAAAAAATATCATCAGAAGGAGAGGAAAGAAAAAAAACAGAAGACAAAACGACAGTCACGCTTAAATTTTTAAATTCACTTAAAAAATTAAAAATCATTTGTGACCCCCAAAACAATTTGCAATGGAATTGTATATTTAAATATTTAAAGGTTTCCATTTGTCAAGGAGCCTTGGGCATTGTTTGTGCGGCTTTTAACCTGACTCTTGGCTAAAAAGGAAAAGTTCCTAAGGGGTCTTCTGTTCGTTCTGTTCTTTCTTTTTTCTTGTTTAATTTCGAAGGTGATTTTTCTTTGGAATTGCGTGAAGAACTCCTAGTAATGGTAATTTGAGCCGCAGGTTAATATTCTTGGTTAGCCTTGGACAAGCTTCAATGGCCGCGAGATAACTTTTCTTTTCTTTTCTGGGAAAAACTTTGTGGCTAACATTGCTGTGTTACAGGTGAACTGGCAATAAAGACAGGTGCTTAGAGATGAATGACTTTAGATAAGCGGAAAATTTAACAATAGAATAAATAATATCTGGCAAAATGTTCATAAAGATAAGCTTAAAAGCGAAATTAATGATCAATTTATTATTATTAAGGGAAAACCCAAACTACTTTATCATCACGTAAGATAAATTAAAATTTTTCCTAATAATTCAATGAGAAATGAAAATAAATCATGACTTCTCCGAATTGATTTTCCTTGGAAAATGAAAATGTTGTAAACTAATTAGAATAACCCGATGGCATGTTCTTTATCTGTGGATCTGTCTTGCTCTGCCCACGGCTGCCCGGTTCATTAGGGCCTAATGATGATTTAACTCCAACCCTCTGCTAATCCTTTGGCATGGCATTCGAATTTGGCCCAAAGGCTGGCGCGTCATTAAGCCAGCCGCACGGCATATGAAAAATGAAAGTCAAATAAACGAAGCCAAGGCACAAATACACACTCTACCGAATACTTGGGGCTGAGACCCACGCAATCAGGTCTTGGAATATCCACATCGCCTGGGAGTTCTCCTTCTGGCCTGGCCAAAACATTGATTTCCCAAGACTTTTCAGGCACACAAAATTAATTACCTAACCTAAAAACTCAGCCCACAAGGCAGTAAAATACAGAACACAAAATACAAAAAATACACCCAAAAAAAAAAAAAATCAGAGAAAAACCAAAACCAGAACACGAAAGACGTAAAAATTATGTAAGAACAGAAATTGCCGAGCCCCAACAAAAAGGAGGCTCACTCTCATTTCTCCCAGCCACTCGATGCTGATAGATTTTCCCTCTCGATTTTCCCCGGCTCGCTTTGATTTGGCTCGGGTTTTTCTGCTGACTCATTTGGGCATGACAACGGCCAAAATGAATGATATCGAAAATCGAAATCAATAAATGAAATTGGTCAAATCAATTTGGCAACAATTGCACTTTTCTGAATGGGGCACACAGAGGAAAAAAAGAGAAGGAAACTGGAGCACAAAATTTGATTAAAGTTTTCGTTTTACCCTGTTTGCTTGGTCTTGTGCCTGCCGTAAAATGAAAAAGCAATTGGAATGGGAAATGAGCTTGGCTTGTGGATAAAGCCAAAATTGTAGCCAGAATTAAGGAGGTGGGGGAAAAGGCATTCTGAATGCAACTTTCTCTTGCATGGAAAACGGGAAAGTTTTCAAGCCAGCAGATTATCAATATTTGAGTTGTCTTTTATGGGAAACTGGGGTAAGTTTAACTTTTTTAGAATTGCTAATGGCTTGGGGAAATAATTGATAAAAGCCTTGCTAAGAATTTTGGAAATATATATGTAGTCAGGTTTTAAGTATCAAGTTTTATGAATTTTTATTCGAATTTAAAATTCAACTATAAGATTTTAAGTACATAACTTTTTCTTAGTTCTTCAACTACTAGACCACAAATATTTCTTTAAGTGTAACACTCACCTCCATTGCCTGATATCAGAGCGACGACAACGACAAGCATGCTGAGCATTATCAGCGCTCTTGGGCGACTGATGTTGCAGCTGGGCCCAGTGATGTTGCTGTTGCTGCTGCTGATGGTGTTGCAGGTGAGTGGGTTGTTGCTGTTGACCCTGTCAGCAGTGGTTGAGCCACTTCCTGGCCACAGTCTTGTGCAATCCTCGCAGAATTGTGGTGGGTCAAAGGGCTCCGGCTGTAAATGTTGTTGTCGTTGTCGCCTGGCTTTGGATGTTGCCACTGCCACTGCCGTTGCCGTTGCCGTTGCTCGTTGCTTTAAATTCGTTTGTTGTTGCTGTTGTTGCTGCTGCTGGTGCTGCTGGCGCATTTCCATTTGAAAAGTTGCCATAATATTTCACTTGCGAGCGTGGTGCTGCCACCCCCTACGCTTCTTTTGGGTTTTCCCTTTTTTTCCTTCTGCTTGGCTCCTTCTCTTTTTGCAACGGAAACCTATTTGAAAATGTGTTTGCGGAATAACTGTGGGGCGTGGCTGGGGGCGGCCTGATTAGCGCCTGCCGTCATCATCATTCCGCTGCGATGCGTGAAATTGCCGCAACAACAACAAGTTCGAAAAAGAAAATCCACTTCCGAATTTCCTTCTCTCTCTCTCTCTCTGTCTCTCTCTAAATATATATCCTTAGTTATCCTTCGGTTAAATGTAGAACTACTTTGCATTTGTTCTGCTCAACAGAGGCTGACAAATCGCCGCCATTTTTCCAGCGATTTATATTCTATTTAATTTCGGCTCGAACACAATTTCACTTCATCTTCATTAGCCGATTGCTGGCCATTCGGGATTGTAGGATTTCCACGGATGCCGGGATTCAGCTGCCTGCGGGATGAAAAGGCCAAAACAGAAAAACAGTTTCGGGGCGTTAAAAATGTTTGGAATTTCATTAAAAATTCAAACGTCAATGTCAAAATAAATGGAAATTTGTGTGCCTGTTTGTTGGTGCTGGTGGCCCCGCTTGGCACGTGCTGTTGTCCTTGCTACGCAAACCGCCCAAAAATCACCCCGCCCTTTCCACCTGCAAACAAGACTTGTATTCTGAATATATATATATATATATATATATATTATCTGTTGGCGCGTGGCTCGACTGTCTTGTTGGATTGGCTCTGTTTGCTTTATGAATGTGTTTCCCTAACTGGCGACAACAGTTTTTCCTTCTTTTTTTATATTTGTGGGAATCCAAGAAATTTGTAAAAGGAAAACAGAAATTCGCGCTGCGCTGGCAATATCGTAATGCGATTTTTTATTAAAGGCAACAAATAATAAATTAAATGCGACAGAGCTTGAATTCTGGAATTTCTAACAAGCAGGAGGGAAAATGAACAGGGCTAGGAATTTGAATTTGAAGTCTTTAAGAAGAAAATGAAATAAAGAAATGTTGGCAAAAATTAAGCTAGGGAAAAGCTAAGAATATTATAAGCTTAAAAACAGCAATTTTAGTAAAATATTTTCCAAAAATAACTAAATTCTAATCTTGTTTTTGAGAACAACAAATAATATTTACAAACTTAAACTTTGTTTAATATAAATAACCGCAGATAAATCCCATTAAAAGTTCGGGTCGCAATAATTTAAGTCCCTTTGGCAACTTTCCCTATAAATCCTTTTCGCAAACTCGAGATCAGAAGGCGAGAATGAAAAACTGTAGGTGGCCCACTGGCTAATTTAGAGATAACTTTTCACTCGATTCGGCATTTGTTTTCGGGCGAGAGCGACCCTGGAGAGCACTTGCATTCCATTTGCAGGAAAAACTTTTCGCTAATGCCTCCCAGCGCTGATCGTATTATGTCTATTTACAACTTTCATTATTCATTTTTGCAACAAATGAAAACGAGAGAACCGACTGTTGAAAAGTGGAATGAGAGGAAGTAAGGGAGGAACAGAGATACAAAGTGCCTGACAGAATCCGAAATAATGGGGCACAAAGCGTTAAACAAAAGGGCGAAAAAAAAGGAAACAAAACCCAGACTCGTCACAGTGTAAGTTACAGCAAAAGTTTCATTTAAAACTGTCGAGCTGAGTCGCCGAAACTTTTCAACCTGCCCCCCTCTTGGCACTTTGAAAGTTGCAAAAAAAATGTGTGTCCTCCATGGGACGGCGGTGGCTGGTGGAATGGTGGGGGATGGAGGAAAAGTCATCAAGTGCAATGTCAGAGCTTGACAAAATATGCAGCAGCGTCCCTCACAGCATCTCTTCCCAACCATCTCCTTCACCATTCAGAGTGTCAATGCGTGGCAAATCCGAGGGAAATGTGCCACAAAACTTTCGCCGGCCAAACAATGGACGATGGAGAGGAAAACCCTGTCGAAATGTGGAAAAAGGAAAAGCTTCAAGGTGATGCCTGCCGTAATTTTTCCTTTTTCTCAAGCATTTTTTTGTGGCTGCTGTCGGTGGTTAGTTTTAATTAGTGCCAAGGTCCGTCGTGGGTTAAGCACGTCACGCTGATGGCCGGGCATTAAGTTGTAAGTGCCAGGGCGTGACCGGCTAACCAAGCTCCCAGTTTACCAAACCAGCCAGCCAGTCAGCCAGGCAGCCATCCTGACAACGTGCAACCACCCACTGATCCACCCATTGAAAGCCCACCTGAACCCAAGTCCAAGTCTATGCATAATTAAAGACCAACGTCTCATTATAATTTCCATTAAAAAGTAGGAAGCCATCCATACAAAACCCCATTCCAAGGATAAATTAATCCTCTGCACAGGGAAAAATATCGATTTGCTATTAATAAATCACAAAACAGTAGTTAATGCCAAAGTAATTAATGTTGGTAATATCAATTAGGAGGATGTATTAGTTAATTTGACATTATGTTAGAAGTCTTAATGAGAAAATTATCTTAGTTTAGTATCAAATCAAGAGATAATTCTGAGACCATAAAGACATTTTTTAAACTTAAATATTTCATTAAAATATTTTTTATGTTATTCCCATTTTTTCTTAGTGAAACAAGGCCAATTGAGTGAACTTTTGATGGGACATCAATGCATTGACATTTAAAGCGACAGCTGTCAGGTTAAACAAAAGTGGAACACGACGGCAGGATCTCCCACCACACCGCCGATTAATCAAATATGCATGACCAGAGTAATTATGTTTGATTAACACCCACATATACGTATACATTTTTGCTTTAATTATGTCTTCTCTCCGTTTCAATGCATATGCATTTTGCCCATCTATTATTTTTCTCTTTCATTTTTTCCCTGTACAATTTGCTCCTTTTGTTTGCTTTTGATTTCCTGCTATTTGTCAAACATTTGCATAATATTTCATTCATTCAAAATTGTACGCTCAAAGAGTTCGAGGCCGCGCACAACAAAGGGGTATTCATAAAAATTGAAATTAAATAAATATGTCAATGCCAAAGCAAACACATTGAATGCATTGTATTGCACTTGCATTAAATATTCAAGTTTATTGTGCAGTTTTAAAATACAACAAATTAATAAACGGTAAGCTGATTATGTTGCAAATATGAGCAGAAGGGCAATTTAGGTCAGCATTAATCAGCTTAAATTACTATTTAAATCAATCCTACTCGCTAAATTGCAAGGAAAATCAAATAAGATTTTAATAATTTTAAGCTTTTTAATCCTTGGAAGTTTCATCAAGCGTAAGAAAAGTTTTTCTAGCTTCATTATTTATGCATTTTCTCTGCAGTGTCTAGTCTTGGAAAGTAATTTCCGTTTTGACTATATCTAAAAAAAGACTTCTATAAAAATAAGAAAAAATGAACTTTTGAATTAATTTACTCCTTGAATTTATTTATTTTTACAAAGCTTAAATGCCTTTTCTGTTCGGCCTACCTAAGATCCCGCTTTTGGGCTGCCAAAACTCACAAAAATATAAATATTCCTATATACGTATATATAGAAGACTCGCATGTTAAAGCAGGCTTATGAATTTTCTTTTTTGAGGCGACCTAAGCTGATTTGGGGCAGACAATGTACAAGGAAAGTTGAGGCAATGAAAAAGGTTAAGTACAATAAAAATAATTTATGTATTTGGGTAACTTTTTGGGGGCACAAAGTTAAATCTTGCAGCCATGAGACATGACCTTGCCGGGGAAAGAGGTAAATGAAATTCTGCTTTATTTTCTCAGAAATGTTTTGCATAAAAAAGTAGCAATTTTACCTGTCAGAGAATCTTAGTTACCTTTTCCTATAGAAAACTGGGCTATGGAGAGGTATCTAAGCATATTTTCTAAGGCAATCTTAGTAATGGATTATTGTGGTGATTGGGAAAGGAATATGTGTTACTTGGATGGGCTAACTGCGAATTTCTTTTTTCATAAAATTTAAAATATTTGTAAGCAGTTTGTCTGGTTTGTGATTTATACTTTCTACTGGAACAATTTTGAATTTTGATTTATGATTAATTCAAGAAAGAGAAATGATTACAACCCAAAATTGTAGGCACTACTAGAACTTAATGCATTTCAAAGAACCAAATCAATAATAATTTTTCGGTTTTCCCCATCTGATATTCATTTTATGCTTTCATTTCCATCCTTGAAAACATATTTATCATCCACATTTCATCACTGATCCTGATTAGAAGCTCCCTATGACTTTCATTAGCATAAGCAAACAATAAGTGTACCTCAATCCTTCTGCAAGGACTGCTAATAAGCTGATTGGATCCACACCCACCTGTGTGCTTAGGCACAAGGGTATGCACAGAGCCCATCTTGGCATTTTCATAATTAAATTGAGTTGACAATCCAAAACCCATCACCCCGCCCACTTTCACTGACCAACCGCTGACCACAACAAAGTGAAAGAGGGAAAATAAAACAATAAACAAATATAACAATGAGCCAGGCACTTCCCTCTTTTTTTTCCACCAGCACCGGAAAAACCGTCGCCCCCAACCACAGCCTAGGACAAACAATGACACAATTGTGTGGGATTTCCCCCCTTTTTTTTGTTTTTTCGGAGCATTACATGATTATCGGTGTTAACTAGATAATAAAATAAGAAATTATCGGATAATTAGTTCAATAAAATTAATCGGGCTTACCTTCTCAACGCTGTTTTTGTGTCCTTTGTTCCCGTTTCTGTGGTGGCTTTTCGTTGATTGATTGGATTTTGATTGAATTAAGGTTTAGTCAAAAGTTTCGGGTCACGAGCTTTATAGACCTTGAAATTTTCTCTCTGCTAATTTTCACAATTTTTTATCTGCGTATAAAAAAAAGGGACTTTAATGTTTGGCCGGGCTATCTCAGCCCATCAAAGCATGTAAAATCATTTCATTTTGCCCCTTTTTTCATGTGTCGAATATCTCGGCCGTGTGATTCCCGTATTTAAACCATTTCTCGCCCTTTTTCCACATTTTCCCCATTTTATGCAAATATTTCTGGTTAAGCAGAATGCGACCCTAATTTATGGGCCCCAAAGGAGATACGAAAGAAAGGCGAAAAAAGTTCAAAAGCAAAAGTTCAGATGAGGGAAAATCGTAACATTTTCCGCGAAATTTAAAAAGTATTTAAAATTATTATTTCTTAAATTCCCAAGCCTCCTTTAAGAGGAGTTATATTCCTGGACGACCTTGGCGTTCTAAACAAACTGCAAACAAAGTTGAAAAATATTTTTTATGTTCGTTGATGGCTGAATGTAATAATATTCCACAGCCGCCGTGTGGCCTTGACAGGTGAGAATTGAGGTGAAGGATCAGTTTTGGAACAAGTGTAGTTACTAAGGTTACTCAGTTTGCTTCTTTTTTAGTATAGAATTTAAGTATGCAAGGATCGCTGGCACTTTAGCACACTTTATTTAGGTTTATTCCGTTTCACTTTAATGTTGCATACTTGATTTTGGCATCCTGGCACGCAGGTTATATTTCTTTTTTGTATTATTTTTCCTTATTTTTCACATTGCGTGCCCATATATCTCACATTGGCTCATTTATTATTTACCGTTATTGCACATTGGACAACTTTTACTTTCAACTACCGCACCCGTGTCCGTGTGAGTTGGCCGAGTTGTGCGTATGTGTTGGTGCCGTATTGAGGTTGTCCTCCGAACAGGACCTATTCCACCACTTTTCACCGTGAGAACGAACCGAACGATACGACTGCACTTAATACACTGAAAGCCACACGAACGGCATCGGCTTGAAAAGCCAGGCGACCAGCCAAAGCTTTCATTTTCCTCTTCCCCTCATTTTTATGGCCAACGAGAGCGAGCTTTTTCGCCTAGCACAGTGGGTCGAAATTAGTTCATCCTGTGTGGTTCCTTCCAGTTGATTTCTCTCTCACGAATGGTGTTTTCGAACTTCTTATTTGGCTTTGAACTCTTTTATTTTTCACTCTCTTAAATGCAGCATTTTATGGCCATTTGTTGACATCCTTACAATGCCACAGCTCTTCGGCCTGCTTTAAGGTATTCAGCATTCTTCGCGTGGGGCTTGTTTTCGACGCATTTAAAGGAGGGCTATGATACGATTCCACTTTAATAAACATTTAAGAATGTTTTTCTTAGTTAAGAATCTTTTACCTTGCCACCTTTAATGACTTTTAAGATATGGAACCTTATTTTAATGTAATATGTCACTTGAAATAATAAACCAAAAACCCGCAGACCTTTTTCAAATGTCAAACAGTATACCCTTTTCCTGAAAATAATTCAAAACAGATTTAATATCGCCAAGCATACCTCTACCTTTAATTTCTTTTAAAGTTCACTGTCATTCAATCTTAACCTTGAATTAAATGCTCTACTCGCTTGCCTAGAACGCATTACAAAAAGGTAATATTAAACCTGCTTTCACTGTTTTATTTAATACTTTAACGTATCTTTCTCTTAGTCTTCCTAACTATAAAAACCTTTATTTTAATTCCAAAAACCAGGCACAAACTATTTTTTAAGAACGATAGATGGTGGGTGGACACTGGCTAAGGGTGTAAGAGAGATCAAAAAGGCAGCTCCAGACACTCGGCCTTCTTAAGCACTTAGTGCACATTAAGTGCCAGGGATTTGGATTGTTTGCTGCTGCCCAGTCGTTTGGCCCCATGCCCAATCCATTGCAGTCCCTTTTCAGCATCGAAAAGCCCCTTCTTCTTCTTCAACTGCTTCAGAGTTAACTGACACTTACACTTGCACTTCTGTGAAATCAAATGCATTCGCCTTGGGTTTGGATTTGGATTGCATTTTTTTTTTGTTAAAACGACTAACCATTCAAGGGGCTGGAAAAACGCTTTTTCAGTTAACGGGCTTTACATTGCTAACACTTTTGAATGTGTAAATGACAGAAAAAAGGTCTTCCGGTATTACAAGAAATATTTTGTAATTAAAAGACATAAAATAAATCCATAACTTTGTTGTTCATAAGTAATATATTATTTTCACAAACCGATTTAAACACATCTTCAGTAAGCCGCCTACCAATCCCAGTCCTCGCCGGTTTCATTTCCTCGTTTAGCATTTGTACATAAGCCGAATCTTGGTCCAATCCCCCTCCGAAGGACCTCGCACCTGTCCCATTTCCCTCTCCACAGCCTTGCCTTCGATTAAGGCTCGAATCGTTGGCTTTGAGGGATCCTTGGCGAAGGCATTCTTTGAATAGTGCATTACACTCTCATAGTCATAGGGAACATTGAAAGTAGTAGTCTGATCCATGGCCATAAACTGCGACCAATATTTCCTAGGGATATTATCATAGTCGATTTCCACATACTCATCACGATCAGGACGACTTTGCTCATGGAAAAGACCCAACAAATGAAGGGTTTCATGTTGGATTACAGCCGGCATAGTTAGACATTTCTCATTTAAAACGACTTCATGCGGGCCAAAGGATAAAGGTTGATAGCCAACTCGAGTGCCGCACATATTGGGTGATTTCTTGAAGGACACATACCGTTTGCCTGAGGGTGCAGAGCCTTCGATCTCCTCGAACTGCACGCAGGTTTGTTCACCAAAACTTGCCATTGCTGTCCTGACATTAGCCACCTCCTGCTCATTGTAGTCCTTAGATATTTTATAATATATCTTATTACCAGGCCAGCGTTGCAGCGGTGAAGTCAATGCATTTCTGGTCTTGGCCTCCGCCTGCTCATCATCCACATGGATTTCATTGTAATAGTTCTCATAGGACTCGATCCCTTCGGAGTTAACAAGGAAGGGTCCGCCGATAAAAACCGCCAGAAATAGAAAGCCAACGGTTTGAAAGAACATTTTTCCAGTTTATGCTTGGACTCAAATTGAAAACTCGCTTTTATAGTCTTTTAATTAAAATAGTTATCAGTTTTATTTCTGTCTCGAAAATATTCTTTAAATTAAGGTTTTACGTACATACACTCAGACAATTCAAAGACAGGCAAACAAAAACATTATACAGCTTGAACCCTTATTAAACACTGTGCAACAAAAGTTTACATTAGCTAAAGTCGATAACAAAAATTTTAGAATCTACAAATTTATGCTAAATATATTTTCTTTTCTCGAAACATATTCTTCCAAACTATAAGCAATCGGAATCAACACTTTGTTGCACAGTGTAATTAGCCAAACACTTTTCCAGATTAAAGCCTGCTCTCCATTTTTTACAAACGTCGTTTTTAATAGAGCCAAGTTCGGCTTAATCCGCTCACAAACTTATATGGCTACGGCTGCATTTTCGCATTTGCATAGCTTAGCATTAGATACAATAATTATATGTTTGCATTAGCTTAATTCAAGCACTTCGAACTGCATGTCAGAACACACTGGTGGCTAGAAAAGTGTCTATGGCTCATAAGCCCTGCATTAAGTTAATAGCGATCTTATGATTCTTTATTTTCTACAACATTCCTTTTGAAATATGAATATTCAGCTGTTCTAGAGCTAAAATAGGCGATTTCCTAATACCTAATGAACTAAGCAAAATTGACTAGATTTTGTTGATGGTTTGTAGTGCAAATAAAATTACATTCGCAATCATTAATTCCAATTTTAACTTTGATTACAAAACTGATGACCTTTAGCAATACATTTTTCTAGCCACCACTGTATCAGTCAAGCACTTCGCTGCCCCTTCTGCAGTTCAAAATACTCCGATAAGCCGAATCGTTAGCAAACTATGCAGATATTTCATAACCCCATTCCTGGGATCTGAATACGCTAATATATACACATATGCAATACGTAGATATCGTATATTGGGGTGTTGCATTTGGGGTTCATTAAGTTAGTGTTATGTTGCTTTGGGTTTAGTATGTATAGTTCCAGGTTTAAACCAATCGTTAATTATTGTTGTTAATTACAGTTTGTATATTTCCAAAACTTCGTTTTCTCGTTTATAAACAAACGCATCACTAAGACGTGAGTTGTGGGTAGTTGCTGGTGTTGTTTTTTTTTTTAGTTTTTTGTTTTTTTGTTTAGTATTTAGGTATTCTGGTTTTTGGATTTTTCCATGGCTTGGGCGTGATTGCAGCAGCGTTGAGGAGTCGCTGGCTTCATGCCAGATAATTAAAATTAGGCTGCTCAATCACGCCCAGGCTTTTGGTACAAGTACATACAATATTATATTAATCATAAGTCATACAAAATAGAGTAGCAAGAACACATAGTTAAAAAAAAAAGAAAGTGTCAACACATTTCGCAAGCAAAATTCAAAGACAGCAATTCATCTCTTCCAGAACTTTTCATTGCATTTGCTTCGGTTGTCTGCCTGGCTTCTCTTTTTATTGGCTTCTGTTTTGTTATCGTTGTCAGTTTGTAGTTATCGTCCTGATCCGTCGATTCAGGCACTTCGCTTGCTAACATCACAAATCAGTTCCCAGTCGTTAGTAACGATCTCGTCCTTTTTTCACATTTCTCCCCATTCAGCATAGTTTCAAACATTCTCTCTCTCTATCTCTAAATATACAGTAAATAGACGGTAGTCATAGTAGTAGTTGGTATTATCATATGGATGGCGGGCGGGCAGGCGGTTGATCGATTAGCTCCATCGAGTGATCAATTGATCAAGTGAGTGATTGAGTGAATTGAGTGCTTGACTCTCGTCCAGTCCTCGTCCCCATCCTCGTCTCTAGTGCAGCTCGATGAACTCGTATAGTGTGGCTGGCACTGTTCCCTCGTAGCGGATGTCATGTTTCTTGATCGTCCTTGCGGCCAGACACGCCAGCGTTGTGTACTTCATTGGATCGATAACCTTATGCATGGGCGTGGGGGCCAATAGACTCTCAAACGTCTCGCCAGCGTAGTTTTTGGTGTCCTAAAAGAAGAGAATCCAATGAGTAAAGTTTACAAACTTCCTTCAATGCCATACTCACCAAGTGAGCTCCACCCTCGAGCAGAATATGAGACAGGGGCTCCACATAGGGCTGCATGGTGGCCAGGTGAAGTGGAGTATTGCCCGCTTCGTCGATGGCATTCGGATCAGCACCCACCTCTAGCAGGGCCTTCGCCAGTGTCACTGAAGGGAATTGACAGGAAGGATAGCGGCCGGCCAGCGTGCCCTCTCGATAGCAGGCGTAGTGCAGAGCGGTCCGGTCGAACCGAACACGCACCTTCAAGCGATTCAGGCGGTACAAGGCTCCCATCACCTGGCGACGCATTTCTGGATTAAGGGCGTCTGTGTCCAGCAGGGAGCTTAGCAGACAGCCTATGTGAATAGCACTTATCATGGTGCGACTCAGGGCATTGGGATCGTGGTTACAATCGTGCTGATGCGCCGAAAGCAGCGTCGTCGAGGAGGAGGAAGATGCGGATGAGGAAGCTGAGCAGGATGGCGATTTATCAGCTGCCGGCAGCTGTTTTTGCGGTTGCTGTTGGTCCTTCTGTTGCTCCAGCGTGAATGCCTGACCCCGCTCAACCTCATTGACCGCCTTGTAGAAGATGGTTAGCATGCCGTCCGCCTCAATCGGAGGAACCACTCGACCCCTGGGCAGAAGGCGACCCGCCTCTACCAGCATAAAGCTGAAGAGCTCGGCGAAGGACAGTAGTGAGGATTGCGTCATCGGACTGAGCGGCTGCAGGATCTTCTGCTGCATGGTGAGGGCATAGGACCAGAGCTCAATGCAGCGATCGAAGCGTCCAGCGTCCGCATAGTGGGCACCCCTGAGTAGAGAAAGTTAAATTAGTAATGGTACAGGTAATAGTAATGTTACTTATCCTACCTAAAACGAATGTAGTAGCTGGTGTCCGGATGCGTGGGTCCCAGAATGCGCTGTCTGATGACCAAAGCCTGCATTCGCATCTCATCAGGATCCAATACCATCTCCTCCAGCTCCTCCACGCTGGTCACCTCGCGAACCATCTCATATGCCGGCACTGGTTCCTGAACCTTCTTCTCCAGCGGTGGGTCCAGCGACCGTTCTTCAAGCGCTCGGCGCCACAGACTTAGTGCCGCAGCCATGTCCCTCTTCCGGTCCACATACGTGGCTCCCAGCAGTTCCAGAGCATGAATCCTCGACTCCCTGCTCACACAGGGCAATGTGATTAGGTGCTCAACGATGGGCATGTGACCGGTGACACTGGCCGCCAGCAGCGGAGTCATTCCGTAGTAATCAACATCCATTGTAGCTCCATGCTTGAGCAGCAGCTGGAGGATCTGTAGGGAACCCGACTCGGCGCAGTCATGCAGCGCTGTGTTCCCCTTCACACTGCAGCGATTCACATCGGCACTCAGAGAGAGCAAATACTGGGCGATGCGGAAGTGACCCTTGTAGCAGGCGATCATCAGACAGGTGTGGCCGTGTCGATTCGCCACCTCAAAGTCTGCGGAAGAAGACAACATAATTAGCACAAATCTTCAAAAGCGAAACTCAAAATATGACAAATTTTAAACCAGTTTTTGATATATATGATATCAATAAACAAAAAATTAAATTACCTGCTCCGTGGTGCACCAGGTATTTGACGATCTCATAATGCCCGTCAAAGCACGCTGCCCTCAGTGGTGTTGAATTCGTTCTGGTAGTGCTGTTAACATTGGCTCCCCGGCGGACGAGCATCTTGACGATGCCCAAGTGGCCAGCAGCCGCTGCGCACCACAATGGTGGGGCATCCTCGATGGGCTCTCCATCGAAACTGACCGATCCCACCTGCTCAACGTTAGCCCGACACTTTGTCAATAAGTATTCTACAATATCGTAGTGTCCATTGCGGCAGGAGATGACCAGGGGGGTGGCTCCGTTCACTTTCGCCGAGATCAGGCTGCTCACTTCGCTTGAACTTTTGTTGTAAAGGGTGGCCTAGAAAAGCAACAAAAAAACTGGGTTAGTCGTTACGAATTTTGAAATGTATAGCTAGTTCGTTATCAGAAAATCAACTTAGTGGCTCAGGGAAAAACACACAAATGGTTCGAAGTCATAAATCTGATAACCTTTTATTTTTGCTTGGAACTTTAACTTCATTTTTTTTTTAGAATTCTATAATTACTTTTTTGGGGAACTTTATTTTGAGAAGGAATAAAGATCAGCATGCCATATTCACGTGATTAAAATTCAATGTGATTCATGCTAAAAATAAAATATTAAACCATTCAAAATCACCTTCTTATCTGACCATATTTGTGTATTGGTTACTCATCCATATTCAGCTTGTTTAAGCAAAGTAAAATGCTTTTTAATAGTAAACCATTTAAGCCCTAACAATGCACCTCCTATCAGTCACTGATGTTTTTCCCCGCTGATTCTGATCTAGATCGCACAAAAATTCCAATTAGATACAATTTGTATTTAATCAATAAAAAAATGATAATAATAACAGCTTTGAAAGAAGATTATGACGAACAAAGCGAATTGCTGACGGAGAGTGAAAAAAAACTCAGGCCACCTGAGCAAGAGATAACACAAATGGGTGGGGAAGGCACGAGCGAGAGAGCAAAGCGGAGAGATATAGCCAGAAATCAGCTGGGGAATATAATGTATTTCATTTTCAGTTGCCTGCCTTTTGCTGATGATTTTTATTGTTGTACTCGTAAAGCACGGCTGCTCTGCCTCCCATGCCAATTTGAAATTGAAATTCATTTATGTCAAACGTGTTTCATTTTCGCTCTATAGTATGCTAATTATGTTGTTTGCCAGCGCGTGCAACGGGTGGTGGCGGCAGTGTGGGGAAAGGGGGTTGATGGGAGGTAGTCATGGGGTGAGGCTGGACGCCACATTGGCTACATCGAATAGATTAAAGATATATACACACGTCTATAATGGAATCAACAATAAATTTACATTTGATTTTTCTAAGCCCATTCAAATCATTTACATATTCGTACAGAGAAAAATAATTGCTTTCTTTACCTATTAGTCATTTAACTACAAAGTAAGTTTATTTTATTTATAAAACATTTATTTTAGTTTGACCTTTTTACTTTCGGTGTGCGGGTTTTCTATATAAGCACAAAAGTTAACATTAAGGAAATAGAATGCATAAAGAGAAAACCTTGACTCTACCACATCGACAAGTCGAGACAATAGTATTTTCCACCTATCAAACTCAATTTGATCATTCGTCAATATGTCTGTGTCACCTATATATAAAGCCCCCTTGTCACTCTACCACCCCCGCCTCTGCCTGCTTAGAACCAGAAACGAGATAAGAACAAAGAGGAGAAGCCAAGATAATAGATGCCAACCGAAAAAATGGGGGGAATTTGGGGGGCTCAAAAGACCTTGTGAATGCCGCACGGCATTTTGGGGTACAGTGAGAACAGGAAAGTTCGACGCTGTCAAAAAATGGAATACAAAAGAATATAATATAAAATAATATGTTAATTAGAATGTTTATTATTAGAAACACCTAACATTTTTATTCTCTTTTTTTTTGATACTTCTTTACTATATTAATTATTCTTAGAAATGTTCTATAAAAACAAAAATAAAACCCAAGAAATGGTTATTAAATATAAAATATACCTTAATCACTTTATTTACTTTAAATACTTTCCCTACCATTTCTTTATCTCTCTCTTTTTCTAGAACTTTCAGCCAAAAAGCAAATCGCTTCCTACTTTCTGCAAAGAGAATCATCTGCTCTTGGCCAATTCTCCTTGTCTCGATATTATTGCCATCGTCACTAGACAGCCGAATTCTTTGTTTTGACCCCTTTAAGGCCTCCCACCAAGTCCCGCGCCCCACCAATCAACGCCTCGTGCGCGTGACAAGGAAAAAATAACATTTAAAAACAAAAACAAGAGAAAGCAGTGAAAATACAAAATCAGAAGCATTTTTGGCAAGACTATTAAGCGGAAAAACGTATTTTGAAAATACAAAAAGAAAATTATTGAATAGCATTTCCTTGGCAGAACAAGTGCAAGTGCGCCAGCAAATTGAACAATGAAAATTACGCATTAATTTTGCATTTAATTCGGTGCGAAAGGAAAAGCTGAAAAATATTTATTTTACAACAACGCGTCATCGTCGAGATTCCATTTTATTTCGCTTTCGCACCCTGGGGGGAAAAATTGATCATCATCATCATCGTCGTCGTCAGCAGCAGCAGCAGCAGCAGCAGCTGTTTTCATCTTTTCCGCCTTCTGATCAATTATGATTACGGCCTTTGACAGCCATGAATCAGCTGGCTGTCTGACTGATACGGGAATTAAAATTGAGCTAATATCGGAAGAACATGGAGAAATAATCTCCAGAATAATCTACAACACTTGATGGGCTTTGAGAATAAAAACACAAGCAAGTTATCTGATTAATCTTTTCATTTCATAGGAAATTTCGTTGTCTTTTATAAGCCATGGATTTATTATACATTTTTTTTCATTTAACTATTTTAAGTGATGAAATATTTGCTATTTAAAACCATTAATTAGAGCAATTAACATTTGAGAAGTTGAACAATTAAAAAATAAACACGCCCAAACTGACATTTATTTCTGTAAAGGTTTATCGTTTTGCTTCGAAGCCTTCAAGTTTTTATTATGGTTTTAAAAATAAACTTTAAATATTTGCTGTGTTTAATTTTTTTAAATATATATTTTTAGCCACATCTTTATTGATCATTTAACACTTTCAGAAGCAGTAATTATTATATTTACCAAAAAAAAGAACCTTGGAAATTACTTTATTTCAGCCCAGTGTCGCATGAATTACTCATGCTGCTGTATCACCGATTTTCCTTTTTATTTTTCCGCTCTCTCACTCTCCACATATCTTCCTTTTAGCCATTATTTAACCTTGTTACCCAGGTCCGAAGCCGAAAAAGCTTCAAACGAAATGAAAAGTCAATCTGACAATGGTAGAGAAGGGGCGGTCTGTGTGGCACAAAAAGCCAGCGGCACGTGAATTCTGGGCGGATCAAAAGCGGTTGGAGGAGGTGTGGGTTTGGGGGTAGGCAAGAAGGTGGGCGATATATAGAAGCGGTAGAAAAAATCAATCAATTGCGTTCAGAACGTCCGATATTATGCCATAATAGATGTGACCCCGCTGATATTGGTTCAGTGGCCCTATTGCCACGAAAAAGAAAAGCAGGAAATTCAATCATGAAATGGATACCAATTATGGGAAACTCTTCACTTGCTAAATATTTAATTACATTTATTTATGCTAAGTAGGTTGAAAGGTTGAAATGATAGAATAACAAGCAACAGTGGGAAAGAGCATTTGTCTTTTTGAATTAAGACAGTAAACATGCTAACGTTATTTCAAAATTTAAATACAACGCTTGCCAAGAATTAAAAGGCGCTCTGCTCATAAATATTTATTGGAAGAAAACATGTCTAATTCAACAGTAAATAATTGACTTTGCAATAAAAAACCATTAAATCGTCAATCTTTATTTACTCTAATATTAATCCGACATTCTACAATGTCCAAACAAGCACCAAACCAATATTTACTTTCAGTCCAAACCGAGAAGTAAACTTGTAGATTTTGACACATTCAAGTATTTTACAATTTCACAAGTTTAAATGTTTACTAAACAATAGTCTTTTAGTACAACATTATCATTTTTTATGCAACTCAACCAAGTACTTCCCCAAAAATGCATTCTACTACACAAATTCTTGTTTATTTTTCCTCTTAATTCTGATCATTTACCGAGACTCACAGGAAATCCCCAAAAAAACAAAAAAGTTCCCCTGCAGAGAGAATGGCAAAACAAATACGTTTAAAGTCAGAATGCAACGGGCCAAGTAAATTTATGTTTCAAAAAACTCATATAATTCACCTTTCGCTAGAAAACAAAAAAAAAAAAAAATGAGAAATTTCACTTCCACAATAAGTGGAAATAAATTTCTTTATAATTTGTTGCCTGTGTTCGTAGCTTGTTTTGCAAATTGGAGAAATATAAAACAATAATAACAACAACAATAGCAACGTTGCTTTTCCAAGGTAATTTTGTTGTTTTTGAACATTTCACATACTTGTTCTCGGTCTCAAAATGAGAGTGGAAACACCTTGAGCCTCAGCCCCGTTTACCGCTATGAACAAATGTCAAGCGAAAACGGCCTAAACACTGCTATTAAATTAAGGCAACCGCACGAACAAACAAAAAATTGTTCGTTTCCGTGTAATAAAAAATAAACAATAAACAACTTTCCATTGTTGCTTTTGTTTCTTGCCTTTTTATTGGGCTGTGTGAATTGTTAGTTGGCCGTTTCGCTTTGAGATCAATTTTCTGCTTTGACCGTTCGCTATATCTCCATAAACCCCTCTCTATATAGGTTTCCCCTTACCCCTGAATCGCATACGCATAATTTATTATAATTTTGACATTGAACGAGTTCAATGTCGATGATATGCAAGTAGACAGCCGTAGCCTCAAGTTCAGCCGACTTCAGACTTGGTCATCACACTCCAATATAATTCAATTTGGGATGCCGTTCGTCCGATCGTCGCGACGATCATTCAACTGAACATTGGCCGTGTATTCGTTGCTTGGTTTTAGGTATTTGGGGCAAGGGGGCTTGGGGGGGGGCCATGGGGCTTCTGGGGCCCGGCATTCAAATCAGTCAGTCAAGCCAACGACTGACTCAAATTATTTGGTTTATTTGTTAGCTAAGCGGCGGCTGCGCAGTCGGCTCAAGGGTGACAAAAGCCAGAGTTTTGAGCCATAAATCCAAAATGAGCCAAAATGACCAGTAGCCGAAAACGCTGCATAAACAAAAAGTCAGTGGAAGAGGCATTAAAACAAAGCAGGAAGAACGGAAGCACTGGAAATATTTTTAAGGTAAGAATTTTTAGGTTTAGATTTTTATTTGCAAAAAATCTCTAAGTAAAACTTACTTAAAAAGTCAAGA